AAGAGTGTACCTTGGACAACCACTTCCTGAAGCATTAACCCCTGGAGATAACATCTAGGCTTCATTTGTGTTTCAGCTCCAGGCCCAGACAAGCAGCAAAACCAGATTAGCAATGCCATGGCAGACATCAGGACCAGCTGCATTGACCAAGGACTCCCTGCCCTGGGACCAACCAATCAGTGGACACCACGACCCTGAAAGGACACACCTGGAAACTGGATTAATATTCTATTAAGATCCTCCCCCTGAAACCTCCTCTAAAATCCCCCCCTTAAAAGCCCTAGGACAGAGAACCCTGTGCACTCTTCCTCTTTGGAGTACGCCAGAGCCTTTCCCGCCCCTCCGATTCCCCCCAAGCGTGTTACCTTCACCCTTCTCTTTCCTAAGCTCCAAGGGCCCCTTCTTTGCCTCTGTAACTTGTTTCCTAAGCCCATTTCTTTTATGACTCACTTCTCTACCTCTGTGACTTTCTAAATAAACTTTCTCTTATGGTTTGAGTCTTGACTCTGAATTCTTTCTTAACCAGAACTCAGGTACCAAGGTACTGAACCAAAGTCGTGTCTGACTCCACCAGCCTAACACCTGGTACCATTATCACTGCCAACAAAACAATGCCTCCCATCACTAAATTGTTTTGGAAAATACGGTTTTGTTTTTCACAAAAATAGTATTCATGCTAGAATGTAAAAAGTTTATTTTTAAATAATTTTAATAGTCAGATGATTAAATAAATTCTTAATTATATATAATAGTTAAAATAAAAATTTAATTAAATAAATTAAGTAAATTTTAAATGAATTAATACCTGTATAATTTCTCAGTTCTAATGTCTAAAATGGTATTATTAATAGATGTAACCCACATAAACTAATGCTTTTTGGGATCCTCAATAATTTCTAAGAGTGGAAAGAGGTCCTCAGATGAAAAAGTCTGAGATGCTGCCCCAATGCATTTTGATCATGGAAGCCTTTCTCTGGAGAACACCTTGAGTATGTCCTATGGAACATACAGTAGGAAACATAATCTCATGCTGTGCTTATGAAATTATTCCTTTATGTGCCTCTTCTCCCTAGACATTCCTCAGTAAATTAATTTATAGCTAATCAATGAGTTTCCTGTCAAACAGTAGTTTTGTGCTCATGACCCTGGCAGTTGATGCACATATCTCCTCTGGCAAACACAGTTGATGCTGACCTCACCCATTTAAAAGAGGTATTAACCTGGAGAATTATTTCACTGAGCAAATGTTACAAATAGTCCAGAGAAATGATGACACAGGTGAACATGCTTCTACACCAGATAATCCTCTGTTACGAGATACCGTGCCAGGGATAGCCCAAGATCATAAGAAATATGGCACCAGTTAGAATCATGGCCAGTTTGGTGTAATATTCCGTTTCCAACAACAGAAGCACTGATTGAAGTGCCGATGTTACAAATTACCCTTTTATAAAATGAGCAGGATGACAGCAATTTATTACTCCAAGTACTGACAATGTGTATTTGCAAAACTTTGTATACGAGCCAAAAATAACCTAAAGAACTAATTCATATTTCTACCATGCTTTTTAGAATATGTCGAGTAAGGTCAGTTCTCTGCTTTTTGGCGAGACTGGAAGCCTCAATTACAAAATTGAGTTATGAATCTCTTCTTCCTGTCAGGTGTCTGAGTGACTGGCCAGAAGCCTCTTCTTAGATGGCTCTAAAATATCTTGGGAAAAAGTCCAAAGTGTAAAGTGCTGAACAACTATTCTGTGCAAAAAAAACTCTCCCCAAGGAAACTCAGTCTTTACACAGAGCTGGCCTGGAGCACAGGCTGTTCAATCCTCTAATCTTCATTCTGGAATTTGCCCAAAGAGCAGAAACCATTAAGTTTATTTATGCAGTTTTGTAAGTGTCTAGTTTAGAAAACCTTGCTTAATTTTTTAAAGATGACCGGGATCTCACCCTGAAAGCGGAAGACACTCATCTTGATCTCTTTTTTCTGTGACCGGGGACTTGAAATTAAATTAGCCTCTAATTGGCTTCCAATAAAACTTTCTTTGATGAAAACTGTTTTAGAGCCATACATGCTTAGTAAGTTTCAGGTCCTGTTCTACTCATTTAATCCTCGGGGCAACTCTATGAGCTAGAGACTATAATTATCCCCGGTTTACAGATGAGGAAATGGACTCAGTGCCTGAGGCCACGCAGTTTATAGGTGGCAGACAGGACTAAAGAACGGAGTGATGAAATAAAATGGAGTCACTCCAGTTAAGCTGCTACTCCTGGAAACTAAAACTTTTGAACTTTTCAGTCCTGTGTCAATGCCTGAAGACACAAACCTCCAGACGCCCCTCTGATCGCCCCCTGAAGGTCTTAGGAAAGCATGTCCATGGACTCAGCCTGCCGACATGGGTATCTAGGCCATCAGTCCTCTAAAGACGTAGCATCGCAGCCCTAACCGGTTTGGCTCAGTGGATAGAGCGTCGGCCTGTGGACTGAAAGGTCCCAGGTTTAATTCCGGTCAAGGGCATGTACCTGGGTTGCAGGCACATCCCCAGTTTGGGGTGTGCAGGAGGCAGCTGATCGATGTTTCTCTCTCATCGATGTTTCTAACTCTCTATCCCTCTCCCTTCCTCTCTGTAAAAAATCAATAAAATATATTTAAAAATAAAATAAAGACTTAGCATCGCAGACCAATTCAGAGGCGAGGCATGCGGAACTGATTCGTCTCAAGAACATACTTTTTACCGTAAGAACCCCTGCTTTTCTTTCTTCTGCAGAACACTGTAGGTCTTGCCTAGTCGTGTTTCTGGTTTGCAGGCCCTAAGACCTTAAATAAATCTTCATCATTTATTTCTAGCCAAAGCCTCCTGATTCATTGACTCTTGGTGGACAACTGGAATCCAGGAACCTCTGAACCAGGATGCCGCATGGATGGTAACATGAAATGATTTACAATAAGAAGAGATCCACTTTCGTGGGGAAAATAGTGGGTTCAAACTCCAGATTAGCCTTTATTTCAGAAACACTTCCTTATATTCCGATGTGTTAGGCGCCATTCCCTGTCTTCCCCATCACACCACAGCCACATGGCATTTACCTGCCTTCCTTCTAGCCTCCACTAATATCCTCTCCCATGGCACCTGGAGCAGTGATCACTGAATGAATGTGTAAAAGAACCAAGGAACGATCAAACAAAAGTGAATTTCTACAAATCTACTTACTCTCCAAAAACGTTAATTTCCCAATGAGTTCTGTGCATCCTGGAGGATAAGCAAAACACCCAATGGGGTGCAGGGAGAACCCCTGAGCAGTGCTGTTTCTATTCACTGACAGTTACCACATGGATTGACTGGCACCCTCACTGTTGCCTGTGGCAGACAGCACACAGGGTCCTCGCACGGCTTTCCTCGGTTCACCGGGGCCCTCACCTGTTTGCTTTCCAGAGTCTGTACCAAGTTGTAGCTGACCTGGGCCACCTGAGAAAGTGGCTGTAGGGATTATATTTTCAATTTTTTCTGAAATAACCCCCACAGGATGGGCTTGAAACGAATCTCATGCAGAACGGCAAAACATGCCAACAACCATGGAAGTACAGATGAACAGGAAAATAGTAGAACTGGTAATGTTTTTACCATTTCTCATATAACATTTTTCTCAGGCACACCATGAGATATAACTACAGCAAGCTAATCAGATCTGACATGAAGTTAGCCAAAAAAAAAAAAAAAAAAAAAAATCAAAACAAAACAACGACAACAAAACACCCACCCTGAAAGTATCAAAACTTAAGATTCATATCCACTATCCTTGTGGTCCTTGCCTAAGTGAGCATCATGCCTTGGGAAACTGGCTAATATGTTCTCACACAGTTTATAAGTAAACTAGAGGCCCAATGCACGAAGATTAGTGCAAGAATGGGCCTTCCTTCCCCTGGCTGCCGGCATTGCCTTTGCTCCGGCCGGAGCCACCTTTCTGCCTTCCCACATTGCCCAGAGGCCCAGAGCGTCCTGCCCCACCCCCAGCCGCTTGGTGTCTGCATATGCAAATTAACCCACCATCTTTGTTGTGTTAATTTGTGTACTCACTCCTGATTGGCTGGTGGGCTTCATGAAAGTATGGTCAATTTGCATCTTTCTCTTTTATTAGTGTAGACTAAAGGTCCGGTGCATGAATCTGTGCACAGAGGGGTGGGGGGGTTCCTTCAGCCTGGCCTGCAATGATGCAAGCATTCCCCCCCGCCACCCTGGCCACTCCATGCCCGCTGCCCAGAGGGCTTCTGCGGCCAGAGTGGAACGCTTGCCTCGTCTTCGAGGCAACAAAGCAAGCATTTCACCAGGCCACTCACGCTGCCCACTCTCAGCGGCTCCCCCCCTCCCCCAGGACTGGGGGACTCTGGCAGGGCTGAGAGGACTGGGCGCCGCCATCTTGTGGCTATGGGCACCGCCATCTTTGTGACAGAGTGACGATTAATTTGCATATTACCCTTTTATTAGATAGGATATATTTTTATTCACAGCATAAAAATGGGGAGCTCACTGATCTAGAACTTTGCTACTCAAAGCCAATCTGCAGAGCAGCCCGCCCAGCATCACTTGGCCATGGGTGAGAAATGCAGAGTCTCAGGCGTTGCCACAGACCTACTGAACCAGCGTTTGCCCTTTACCAGGATCCCAGGCAATTCACGGGGCACGTTTTTGTTTGAGTAGCGCGGCTTTAGAACACACTTCTTCAATGATCTCAATCCCAAAAGTTCAGCTCTTATTGATAAGGTTAGGCAGATTTCTCTTTTGCATTTTTTACCTCATAAATGTATCATTTCTAACATCTGATATAAAGTGTTCTTCAATACTATTAAGAAACTATCCCCATACACCAAAACTCCAGTGAAATAATGCACATATAACTGCAGCATCATCTGGAATGCCGGTATACATAAAATAAACGTCTAGGCTCCCGTACAATAAAAGCCATCCTGCCACACCTTAAGCGTTCTGATCCCCACCTCCACTTACTTTTGTTTGATCATCAGCTTTGAACACATAGCAGATACTCCGCCTACTGGCCGCATCGTCCTTAATCAGACAGGCAAAGTAGCTCGGGTCGTGACTGTTGTGGATCAGTTTGTGAGCGTGCTGAGGCTTGCACTCGAAGATGCTGGAACAGATCAGTGGATCCCACTGCTGAGTCTTCTCTGGCTCCGGTTCACATCGCAGTCCAGAGGGCGAGACGCAAAGCCGGACTTGCTTGGTACTGGGTTCCTTTTTGGAGGACTGCCCGCTGAGCCGGCGCACCTCTGCCACGACCCAGGGTAGCATGGGCATGGTGGTCAGGGAATGCACAGGCAAGGAGCCCACCAGCTGGAGGCCGAAGGCCACCCAGGCCTCGTTAGGGAACGGATGCTTCCTCGCCGTGAATGTGATTGGTTCCATTTTGGGAAAGGTCTGGAAACTCAGCAACACCTTCCCACGCTCCTCAATGGTAACCCAGCAACCTATTTGACCTCTCCTGGTGCAGAAGCCTGGGGGAGACACAGAGGCATTTGAATTTAATTTTATGGGCACCGCCATCTTTGTGACAGAGTGACGATTAATTTGCATATTACCCTTTCAAAGGATTATTATTTCAGAAGAACTTAAAAGTCTGAAACCCAACATGGACTGGTGAACACACAAAACAATATACAGTTGATGTATTATATAGAATTGTACACCTCAAACCTACATAATTTTATTAACCAATGTCACCCAATAAATTCAGTTTTAAAAGCCTGAACCCCAAACATAGGAAGAAATGGATATTCGTTCAAATACACTGCTCTGCAGAGAAAGAGCATTCTTGAAATTGCATTTCATATAAAATCTGAATATGCCATAAATGTCACACTGACAGCGGGTTACAAAGATCCCACCGGGAAACTCCTATTAAAGTTAAGCTTCACAGAGCCCACAAAGGCAGGCACTATGAAAAACAACATAACGCTCCCAGGACAGCCTGAAACCCTGTCATGTTATTTAACATATGCTTCAAGGAGTTTTTTTAAGATAATCATATTCAGTACTAGTAACTCACCCCCACCCCTCACAAAAGAAAAAAATATCAGCTATTCATTATCATAGTCTGCTGAACCAGACCGGTTTTAACACCTTATCTATTGCTTATGATACCACTTGAAGTTTAAAAGTCTCTCCCTGGCATACTTCAGAGATTTTGAATCACAAACTCAAATTCTTTTAACAGGTACTTGGTGCCCATTATGTTCCAAACACTGTCATAAATATCGTTTTGTTTCATTCATGTAAGCCATCACCCCATTCCCGTCCTTATCAGTAGAGGATGTGGCTTCTACCAGACTCAAACCTTCAACTTCGATATGGGTGATTTTCAGCAACCATATCTGAAACATCCTAACATCTGCTTGTTCCATTGGATAATGAAACCCTTCTGTTCAGAGCTGATTGGTCTACAGCACCTCAAGCCCTATTCTCTACTCATTTGCCCCTGGATAGTCATTCTCCCATGTATTTCCTGAGCATGTATACACATGCTGAGGAGGAACTCGATAAAGACAGGGGTCACGTCTGTCTGATCCACCATTCTATCCCTGGTGCCTGGCACACGCCTGACTCAGAATAGGTTCAATAAATATTTTAAAGTAGTGAATGAAGACTCTTCCATCCTAAAAATAAAGGTATTTCCCCTTGACCTCAAATCTCCCCCAGACACAACTCTTCCTTCTCTACACAAATTTCTTCAAGATAAAATCTACAAGGTCTCCACTTCCCACTGTCCATCCACAATATCTGGACTGTGACTAGAAGCACAATTTTCCTGGTAAGTTCACCCACATGCTCTGGTTGTGAAATCCAAAGGGGACTTTTTAGTTCTTAACTGTCTTGTCCTTTCTGATGAATTTCTCAATGTTGACCACTCCCCTTCCTGCTTAAAACTTGTGGTTCTCTATCTTAACCTCTTCTGGTTGCTTCTTTTCAGATTCTGTGATGACTTTCTTTCTCAGTTCCCCTCATTCTACCTGCATGCTCTTGGTTGTTGACACCTAATATCTCGGTTTCGACAACCACATTCCAATACTCCTGCTGCTGCTGCTAACAACTTACTTTTATTAAGTACCGGCACTCTGCATGTGTTATTTCATCTTCATAACACCCTTCACCTCCAACCCTAGTCTCAGTGAGAGACTACTATTCTTGCCACTTTTTATGGCCTAGGAAACTGAGGCCTAGAGAGCTTGAGTCATTTGTCACAGGTGACGCGAGAGTCCACACCTCATTCTCAATCCCTCCTCTTGAGTGCTGCACAAAAATGCATCTACCACACACACCCTGAGGATTCCCAGTGTTCATCTCCCATTGAACCTCAAAGAATTCCAAATCCGTACAAGCCATTAAATAGTTCTATCTGGATAGCCTATAGGCACCTCAGTCTCAACTTAGTTATTTTAAAACTAACTCAGTCTCACCTCTCTCCTTTCCACTTCCCAAAACTTCTCTTCCTTCCTATAAGTTATATCTCTGTGACCAGCATCAATGTTTATGTTATTGGCTAAGCCACAGCCAAGGAGTCGTTGATATCCCCTCTCCCCAAACTCATATGTTGAAATCCTAATTTTCAATGTGCTGATTTTAGGAGGTTGGGCCTTTCTAGAGTCATTAGATCATGAGGGCAGAACTCCCATGAATGGAATTAGTGCCCTTATAAGAGACCCAGACAGCTCTTTTGTCCCTTCCACCAAGTGAGGGTGCAGAAAAAGATGGCATGAACCAGGAAGTGGGCCATCACCAGACACCGAATCTTCCAGCACCTTGATCTTGAACTTCCCAGCCTCCAGAACTGTGAGAAATAAATTTCTGTTGTTTATAAACCACCCAGTCTATGGTATGCTGTTATAGACTAAGATGAATCATTCAGATTCCTTCTTCATCTTACCACTACTTCTAAGACATATTTAAATATGTCTTATCTTTTCTCAACTGGGGTAAAAGAGCCCCAACCTTCAATCCCTCCTTCACATATTTCCTAGAGTAATTTAACAAACACACAAAATTGATCATGTCACCCCTCTGCTAATAATTTCTTAATAATTGCCCCATAACATCTGAAGTCTTCTACATGGTATATAAGGTCTCTTTGGAATATGGCCCAACTATATGCTCCCCTCAAGCACCCTCCTTCATGCACCTTTTGGCTCTGAAGATAGAGAACTAGTTATGGTTCCCCATACGAGATGTGATTTCTCATGCCGCTGTGCCATAGTGCATACTGTTCCTCCCTCCCGGGAACACAACTCCTGCCACAAACTGTAAAGGCTCTGAGATTTTAACAGTTAGCCTGCCACAGTTAGCCTCCTGGTAGGAGACATGAGGCTCCTGGGTCTGAGGCACAGAGCAACAGCACATTTCATGAAGGTGTATTCCCTGTCTCTTTTCCTTTAAATTATAGCTTCTCTTAATGATGAGGACAGACTTGAAGCTCACATGACCCCATAAATAGTGGTTTCTCCTGCCTTTTTCCTCTCTCTAAGCTACAGGTGAAAGTAGCATTAAATGTCTGGGTCAGTGTCCACTCCGGTAACTGAATCTGTTTCAAGTTCAACTGCTGACAACTGCTAATCCCAAGACATGATTAAAGAAGTACTAGAATTTGTCAATTCTAGGACTGTCAATCAATGTAACTGAAGCAGTGATTAATATGATGGCAACAGCATCTCAGAATTACTTTTAGTTTTCTTATTTAGTTTTCTGTACTTAATGCAAAAAAAGCACCGAATTTAGTAATTTAAGTCATTTGGTAAATAATTAGTCATTAATCAGTTCTGCCATTCCATTGACTAAAGTACTAGTATTTGATGGCCTAAGCAGGGGTGCAAAATCATTTGCTCTGGCCCTGCCAGGACCTTAGGGGTGAGTTAGTTAAATGTTTGACCAAATACAGCAGGCTAATTTTTAAGATGATAATTTTGTATGGCCCTCGAATGATGTTATAAATATCCAGATGACCTTTGGCAGAAAAAAGGTCCCCCACCCTGGCCTAAAGTCTTCACTTTTTAACAAGCTGGGGCACATTCTTAGTATGTCTATAAAAAGTGTACTGGGCCTTCATACTGTTTACAAACTATCAAATAAGTTCTATCTCACACACAGTCATAATTATTTATAAGCAATTCAGACTTTGCTGATATAAGATTCATGGTAACACACTAGATAACTGTTTGTATTACTTTTCAATAAAAAGTACCATGAAACAGATGAACTATTCAAAAAATACTAACAAACCATTAGATTACTGTTTTAAACCATCTCGATCCACATCATTTGCACACAACCTCTGACCTTTAAGCCTCAGGTTCCACCTATTCCAAGAGGCCTCTCGTGCCTCATACCCTCAGTATGATCTGCTATCCTAGTGAGCTCGTTATATTCCTGTGTGTACACGCCCCATCATTTACAGAGACCGTCTGTATTCCACGCAACTCCTACCTACCACAGTCCATAAACATGGTAGTTATCCGAAACACAGAGATGCTTTCATTAAAACAACTTCAATAATCTTGTTAGTGGATCCTGCTAAACATATTCCAGGAAGCCTGCACTTAGAATCACACCATTTTAAAGCTAGAGGGGTCCTTTTAAGCCATTCAGAAATCCCCCTCATATTTGAAATGAGGAAACTGGGTTCTGGACAGTAAGTGGCTTGTCCAACTTTGGTGGCAGAATTAGGACAATCCAAGTCCCTGACTCCCTTCCAAGTGCTGCAAAGAACCTCAGTTTCTTCAAGAAAACAATTTCAAGTGTGCAGTTAAGAAAGCAAGTTACTTAACTTCTCCAAAGTTCAAGTTTATTCTTGTAAGTGTGGAGAGCGGCTACAGCGTTTGGACAGGTTCAAGCCTGGGACTAATGAGAGGGCACGATCCTCTTGTGGTACAGCCACATGTAAGTCCCAACACAATTATAGCCAAAGGCTAACGTTGTAAGCTTGACCTTATGGTCCAAACCTGTGGTCCCACATGGCTAAGTGATATGGGCTGTGGGAGGTGCAGCAAGTAAACAAAGTTTGATCTGGTGTATGTAATTGAGTAGAGTTGAAACCCATGAGAACATTGAAACCATGCCCTTACTTTGCCTCGTGGAATCTGGCTATAAAATAAAGACTCAGCTTTCAGGCTATGGCACTGTCTCTCCATCAGAGAGAGCAGTGTCCCACCTAGACCCAGCTTTCTTCTCTTGTCTGTCTTTTCTAAATCCTTCACTGTCCCCTCTCAGGTTCACCCAAGGCCATGCCGGCTCGGCACATGGCGCCCAACGTGGGGCTGAGTATGGGGAACAGGGGCCTGAGTTCAGGCTCACCCATGGCCATGCCGGCTCAACACAATAAGATAATGGAACAGGATCATCTCCAAGTTTTCTTCTATCTCTAAAATCTGGTGAATCTAATTTCATAACGTATGATACCAAATGTCCTCAGCATCGTGTGGGATGGGAAGCTACTCCCATCTTCCTGTCA